AGTGCTCGATAATTTGTGTGCGGATCTAGCACCCCCCCAATCATGACTCTGAGGAAGATGATGTACCCCTAGAGAATGATGCTAGTAATATATGTGAACCTGGTTATGAGGACCGGGCGACAGAGCCTAGTAAACCTAAGCGTAAGTGGAAAAGGAAGATCTATCCCGATTCCGTAGTTCGTAGGAGTGCTAGGATTCGAACCACTAAAAAATTCCATGATGAAATATGAGAGGAATCTTTTGGAATAGCAGAGGTCTGAAGGACTTGGCTAAAAGAAGATTCCTAGCTGAGGCAGCTTTAGAGCAGAGGTTAGATTTTGTTGCTCTATCGGAGACGGGTAGAGATAACTTTGCGCCCCAGTTTCTTTCTTCTCTTGTGGGTGGTATTGATTTCGATTGGCATTGCCTTCCTCCGCGAGGAAGATCGGGTGGTATCTTACTAGGTGTGAGATGTGATTCGCTTGAAGTCCGAAGTGTAGTGATGGGCGACTTTGCGGTGAAGTTTCGAGTCAGGTCTAGGATAGATGGTTTTAACTGGGCTTTGGTGGCTGTTTATGGTGCCGCACAGCCCGAGCTTAAAGCGGAGTTTCTAGCGGACCTTATTCGAATCTGTGGGTCAGAACAGCTTCCATTTTTAGTTGGAGGTGATTTCAATATCATCAGGAGGAGAGAGGAGAAGAACAATGATAACTTTGACGGCAGATGATCATTTATGTTCAATACCATTATTGAAAGCTTGGATCTGAGAGAGATAGAGCTTTCCGGTAGAAAGTTTACCTGGGCTAATGCTCTGCCAAACCCTACCTATGAAAAACTTGATCGAGTTCTTGCGAGCATGGAGTGGGAACAAAAGTTCCCTCTGGTTATGGTGCAAGCTCTTTCGAGGGAAATATCTGATCACACCCCATTGTTCGTGGACTCAGGGGAGCCGAACCACGTGGGTAACAAGAACACCTTCTCTTTCGAGATGTCATGGTTTGAACGCGAGGGGTTCGTGGACTTGATCGCCAGGGAATGGGATAGAAGTGTAGGAGGCAAGACTGCGATAGAGCGTTGGCAGAATAAGATTAGGCATTTGAGAAGTTTCTTACGGGGTTGGGCTAAGCACCTCAGTGGTGTGTATAAGATTGAAAAGGATAGACTCCTTACTCTTATACAGGCCCTGGACATACATGCTGAATCCACTATTTTATTGCCAGCTGAGCTTCAGGTTAAAAATGAGGTGGAGACGAGGTTGAAAGAACTGCTCTGCGAAAAAGAATTGAAGTGGGCTTTGCGTGCTAAAGTCCGCAAAGTGGTCCAAGGGGACGCGAATACTCAATTCTTCCATTTGATAGCTAATGGCAAGCACAGAAAGAAGCGTATCTTTCAGCTTGAGCAAGACGAGGGCACTATTTTAGGTCAGGATAACCTAAAAACATATATTACTGACTATTATAAGCAATTATTTGGACCTTCGGAAGATAATTGTGTGTCCCTCGATGAGTCCAAGACTGAGGATGTGCCCCAGCTATCGGCTGACGATAATGATATTCTAGTTGCCCCGTTCTCGGAGAAGGAGGTGTTTGATGCTATTGCACAGATGAAAAACAATAAGGCTCCCGGACCGGATGGATTCCCGGCAAAGTTCTATAAAAAGTGCTGGCACATTATTAAGGGGGATTTACTACCTATGTTCCATGATCTGTTCTCTGGACAGCTTCAATTATTTCACTTGAATTTTGGGACTATCACACTGCTTCCCAAGAAAACGGATGCTGTGAGAATTGAGCAATTCAGGCCGATCTGTCTCCTCAATGTTAGTTTCAAAATTTTCACCAAGGTCGGGACTAACAGGCTCACACAGATTGCGCATTCTGTGGTGCAACAGTCCCAAACTGCTTTCATGCCGGACAGAAATATCCTTGAAGGGGTGGTCGTCCTGCATGAAACACTCCATGAAATCCATTTCAAAAAATTAGATGGAGTAATTTTTAAGGTGGATTTCGAGAAAGCGTACGATAGGGTTAAATGGCCATTCCTCCAACAGTCATTGCGTATGAAAGGTTTTGATGAAGCCTGGCACCGACAGATTGAATCATTTACGCAAAAAGGTAGTGTGGGAATTAAAGTTAATGATGACATAGGTCATTACTTCCAGACACATAAAGGCCTAAGACAAGGAGATCCGATGTCCCCTATACTGTTTAACATTGTGGTGGATATGTTAGCAATTTTGATAGGAATGGCTAAGGAAAATGGTCAAGTAGGTGGATTGGTACCTCATCTTATTGATGGAGGTGTATCCATCCTTCAGTATGCTGATGATACAATCATCTTTATGGAGTATGACTTGGCCAAGGCGAGAAATATGAAGCTTGTGTTATGCCTATTTGAACAATTGACCGGGTTAAAGATTAATTTTCATAAGAGCGAGCTGTTCTGTTTTGGTAGGGCCAAAGACAAACAGGATGCTTATAGGCAATTGTTTGGGTGTGAGTTGGGAGAGTTACCCTTCTCTTACCTGGGGATTCCAATCCACCATCGTAGGCTGACAAACAGAGAGTGTAAGTGCATCGAGGACCGATTTGAGAAGAAAATGAGTTGCTGGAAGGGTAAGCTCATGTCATACGGAGGCCGATTAATCCTGATTAATTTGGTGCTCACGAGTATGCCAATGTTTTTCCTATCGTTCTTTGAGGTCCCAGTTGGTGTTAGGAAGAGACTGGACTTCTATCGATCGCGTTTCTTTTGGCAGGGTGATGAGCTTAAAAGAAAATATCGGCTTGCCAAATGGGATATCATCTGTAGACCGAAAGACCAAGGGGGTTTAGGTATTGAGAATCTAGAAGTTAAGAATAAATGCCTTCTTAGCAAGTGGCTGTGGAAGCTCTCATCGGAGAATGATGCTATGTGGGCTCAAATCCTTCGCAGCAAGTACCTCCAGACAAAAACTTTGTCCCAGGTTACAGTCAGGCCGACCGATTCACCTTTCTGGAAAGGCCCGATGAAAGTCAAACAGTCCTTGTTTAATAGGACGAAGTTTGTCATTGGAAACGGCACGAGTACACATTTCTAGGAGGATACTTGGCTCGGCGAGACACCTTTGGCCATCCAATATCCGTCTTTATACCGCATTGTTCAACGACGTAAGGTATTCGTCGCATCGGTCCTTCAATCTACCCCCTTAATATTCAGTTCCGACGAACGCTAGCGGGCAATCGTTGGGAAGAATGGCTCCGTCTAGTTAGGAGACTGATGGAGGTCCAGCTTTCACAACAACCCGATGAATTACGCTGGAAATTGACTAAGTCTGGAGTATTCACGGTTAAATCAATGTATATTGATGTTATTAATTCGAACTCCATTCCTACGTCCAAGCATGTTTGGGATGTCAAAGTTCCTTTGAAAATAAAAGTGTTTATGTGGTTTGTCCATAAACAAGTTATTTTAACTAAGGACAACTTGATAAAGCGTAATTGGACAGGACCTACTAGGTGTAGTTTCTGCGATCGGGATGAGACTATCAAACACCTCTTTTTTGATTGCCCGTTGGCCAAGGTACTTTGGCAGACGGTCCACATTGCTTTTAATATCAATCCATGAATTCTGTTAATGCGTTATTTGGGACATGGCTTAATGGGATTGAGCCTGACTTAGCGAGACATATTCGGGTTGGAGTTTGTGCTTTGCTGTGGACTATCTGGACTTGCAGAAATGATTTGGTTTTTAACCGAATATCATGTATACATTTTTTGCAGGTCATATTCCGAACTATGGCTCTGATCCGTTCGTGGTCGTTACTCACCCAGACGGAGGTCAGGGAGCATTTGGTTACTGGGTCTTTCCGCTGGGAGATGATAGCTCGGGTTATCTTCAACCGGTTTGGATGACGGTCATGTAATAGAATAGGCAATTAGTTTCCCTATCTAGTATTAGCCAGCCGGTTGTGACGTCTTTTCTTGGCTAGTTGGTGTTTCTAGCCCTTATTGACTCTGTGTGAGTTTTCTGTGCTTTTTTATTACTTTTGGAGACCTTTAGAACCATGTTGTCACTACTTTATTTGGCTAATAAGATGGCCGTATGCATCTTTCTGATGCAGAGACCGGGGAATCCCCCCATTTCAAAAAAAAAGATCACTAAGGGAGTACAGTATTATTGACGATGCAAGGCATTTTCATTTATTAGGATAATCCAGAGATTAAATTTTCTGACCGAAATAAAAGGAACCAGAGCAATCTATTTCAAGGAATACCCAAACATGGCAACATGGCTAGACCCATAAGCATGGCCGCACAGGATCAAGCCTCTCTTGGGCACCTACCCATAGGCTGACAGTAGACCAGCCTTTGTCCCCTGGTCACCCAACTATTCATCTCTCATCAGTGTCACTTTCTCAGCCAATCCCCTAAACCAGCGCACAATACCAATACCCTGTCATCTAGCAGCTCCTTCCTTGCTCTTCCACATTTCTCTCTTGCCACATCTTTGTTGAATTGCACCCTCATACAAAACAGTATTTGGACTATAGCATCCTTCTTCGAAATCAAAGACATTTATTTTAGGATGGAGGGAGTAATAGGTACTCTGAATTTCAGACTAATCTTTTTTTTCTTCTTCTTTTTTGTGGCCACCCCTTTTACTCGTAAGAAAAGGCACTTGTGTTTCTTTGTACTACACAAGAGAAAAAGAGAAGAAGGGCGTGTGAGTAAATAGCACGAAAGGGCAACGCGGAAAACGAAAAGGGAGGGAGCAATCAAACCAAGAAACCGGAACGAATGTTTGTCATTGAATATCTCTCCCTCACGCCGACGACCAGCCGTTATTCCTTCCTCTCGTCCTTTCCTCCTCCTCCCCCCCCTCCTCGCTCTCCGTGTGTGAGCTGTGGGACGTCTCCTCCATTGCTCATCATTTCGAGCTTTCATTTTTTCTTCCTGTTCTTCTCCACGAGAGGCAGAGTAGGTAGGTAGGTAGGTAGGTACCATCCATCCATTTTGGCAAGGAGAAGAGGAGGTCGGGCAATGGGGTTGGCCAGCGACAGCGCCGGGTTCCCCTTCTCCGCCAAGCTCTCCGCCGCCAACTCGCCGCGCTTCTGCAACCCCATGAGCAGGAGGTGAGTCCTCGCCTCCCACCTCTTCCTCGTCGGTTTCTTTTCACCCCTTCTCCCGGGTGGGCTTTGCCGCCGTTCATGTTCTAGCGGCAAATGCGCCTGTGGTTGTCTTGGGAATCTTTTTGGGGGCGTCACAAACTCAGGATCCTTGCCAGTTTAGATCGTTTGGAGCTAATTTCATGGGTTTCAGGCCAAGGGAAAAAAATGGCATCTGAACTTCTGAAGCTCCCGTGTCCAACTCAAGAAAACAGTGGAATGTTACCCTGAAAATGTTCTTGGTAGCTCCCTCAAAGGGTTATTGTCAGGTGGTCCTGGGGATAACAAGATGCCCGCACATTTATTATTTTAGATCGTCCTATGATTTGCATAGATTCAGTTCTCCTTTAAAAGCTACTACTAGGACACTTCCTTTGTTATATTCCTCAGCTTCTGAATAAATCCATCTGAAAAGATCCGTGTGTGGCAAACTTGATGCACTAGCAGCATTAGTTCAACATGATCTGTCTATGTTAGTCTTAGTTTTTCTGTTCTATTAGTCTGAAAAGTTTTTCATCACTTGGTCAATCTGAACCCATAATCTGAATATGTGTTGGCGAACTGAAGGAATATGTACTACAGTAGTATTTGCTAGATACAAAAGTGACTTGTGCCACCACATTGTTCGGTTCCAAGGTAAAAAAAAAGGGGATTGTAGTTCCAAGCATTCTATGCCCCAATAACTGTAGAGCGAACTAGTGTCAAAAGAATTATGCTTGGCTTGATCTTCATTCACATGTTGCACATTAAGATGAAGTTCTTGGGTGTTTTAATTCCCTACATCGCTTGTTGTGCAGGATATTTTCAGATGTTGCTGGCGATATAACGGTATTGGTGGATGGTCAATCTTTTCTACTGCACAAGGTGCCCTTCATCTTCACCTCTTCTGAAGTTTTTATGGCCATCACTCTTCTTCACCTCTGTATTGGAGTGTGTGTTTCCCTCTTGTCCTTTTGAGTAGAAAAAAGAACGCTGTTGTGTTTTTCATTTGAACCTTAGCTTCAGTTATCATGGCTAAAAGGTGTAAAGAAATAAGAACATAATCTGGGAGAAACAACTAATGGGTTTGCCCACATGGTTAGAAATGTTTCGGGATCCTTGTGCGCGTGTGGAGAGAAGGGGGTAATAAGCAAACAAATTGTGATTGGTACTTTTCTTTTTCTGATGCTTATAGTATGAGCTGAAGCTAGGCCTGTGGAGCACGTTTGATCATACCGTGTCTCTACTTATTTTGCAGTTCCCTTTAGTCTCTCGGTGCGGAAGAATACGACGAATGGTGGCCGATGCCAAGGATCCAGATCTCTCAAAGCTTGAGCTTGTAAATGTACCAGGGGGAGCTACATCATTCGAACTCGCAGCCAAGTTCTGTTATGGGAGTAACTTTGAAATAACCACAGCGAATGTAGCTCATCTCCGGTGCATTGCAGAATATTTGGAAATGACAGAAGACTATCAAGATGAGAACCTCATTGTTCGGACAGAGATGTACCTGAATGACCTTGTGGTCAAGAACCTTGAGAAATCTCTACAAGTTTTATGCGCGTGTGAAGGCTTGGATCCAATGGTGGAGGAAATCGGATTTGTCGATAGGTGTGTCGATGCGATCGCGATGAACGCAAGCAAGGAGCAGCTGGTTTCAGGTTTGGCTCACTTGGAATGCGACGCGGGGTCCGGGAAGTTGCGGATGCATTGCCAGGACTGGTGGGTTGAGGATCTTTCTGCTCTAAGAATTGACTATTATCAGCGAGTGATCGCCGCGATGAGGAGAAGTGGCGTGAGACCGGAGAGCATAGGCACTTCAATCGTGCACTATGCTCAAACAGCTCTCAAGGGCATCGAAAGGCGTCACGTGTGGGATTCCGGCCCACTTGTCGGTGACAACCAAAGGGTGGTTGTGGAAACCCTCATCAACCTGATGGCAACCGAGAAGATCACAGCTGTTACCCTGTCATTCTTGTTCGGCATGCTCAGAATGGCGATAGAGGTTGATGCAGGACTAGACTACAGGATTGAAGTCGAGAAAAGGATCGGTCTCCATCTTGAGATGGCATCACTTGATGATCTTCTCATCCCGTCCATGCAAACGAGCGAGTCCATGTTTGACGTCGACACGGTCCATCGCATTTTGGTGAACTTCTTGCAAAGGATTGAGGAAGATGACTCGGGAGACTTGTCACCTTGCGGATACGAGTCCGACGGACTCAAGTCTCCGAGCCACGGCTCGGTGCTCAAGGTCGGAAGGCTAATGGACGGTTATCTTGCAGAAATTGCACCAGATCCTTATCTGAAACTGCAGAAGTTCATGACCCTCATCGAACTGTTGCCGGATTACGCTCGCATTGTTGATGATGGACTCTACCGAGCCATCGACATATACCTAAAGGTACAAAACTACACTATATCACAGTGCCACATTTTGGTAGTTGTATGTAGCAAACTTCTGAATTTGTAGGAGCAACTATATATGTTTAGACCAAAAACATTCTCCATCTAACTAATGTATTTGCCATCAGAAACAGCATGATATCTGTAGATGAAAATGTGATGATGTATGTACAATCAAATACTCACATTGAATCCGAGTGTACAGCATGATATCTGTAGATGAAAATGTGATGATGAACAGTACTCCGTTCGTTTTTATAAGGCGTTTGAGACAGCTGAGTTTGAACTGTTTAGTACACTGTCTGAATTTACTAAAACGTCTTATATAAGTGAACAGAGGGAGTATAATTTATCAATCTTGATTTGAATAAGGTTCTGATGGAATTGTGATCGGTCAGGCACACCCATCTCTGATGGAATCCGAGTGCAAGAAGCTGTGCAAGCTGATCGACTGCCAGAAGCTGTCCCAGGACGCGTCGAGCCACGCGGCGCAGAACGACCGGCTCCCGATGCAGATGGTGGTGCGCGTGCTCTACTTCGAGCAGCTCCGCCTCAAGTCGTCCTTCTCGGGCGGCCACTCCGGCGGCGGCGGCGAGTACTGCTCCTTCTCCCAGCGGATCACCATGCCGATCAGCGGGAGCGGCGTGCCGAGCTCGTGCGTGTCGCCCCGGGCCGCCGGCGCGGCCGACAGCTACGCGTCGCTGCGGCGGGAGAACCGGGAGCTGAAGCTGGAGGTGTCGCGGATGCGGGTGCGGCTGACGGAGCTGGAGCGGGAGCAGGGGATGATGAAGCAGGGGATGCGGGACGGCCGCCCGGGGGAGCACGGCCGCGCCTTCTTCGCGTCGATATCGAGGGGGATCGGGCGGATGGCCATGTTCGGCCCGGCCGGGGAGAGGAGGAAGAAGAGCTCCAGGGCGACGGCGAGCTCGCAGTGCTCCGAAGGGAAGAGCCGGAGGAGGAAGAAACCATCGGTCACGTATGCGTAGCTAAGCTAGAGGCTCTCAAGCCGCGCGCGGGAAAACACTGTAGAATGTATGTACTGTGCTAGGTAGCTCGCGTATACATGATGCCGGTGGATTGCAACAAGTTTCCTTTGCAGTTTTATCTCGTATCCGATGTGACACCGAGAGATACGGCTAATCCGAGAACCTCTGGTAGCGTCGTCGGCCTCTAAAATGCTTTTGCAACTGACTTCTACACGGTTAGTGAAGTAAATAGCATAAAACGACCGCATTCTAAGGGTTTAGAAAACCACCGCATTGGACTATCGCTTATAAAACGAACCGATCATGGATGGATTCTAGGGTTTATCTGGTTGTTGTAACCAACACTGTTGAGATATCGTTAGATCATGTACCGTGTATAAAAATCTTAGGGATCAATCCAATCTTGACCGAACCTGCAATTTTTCTGGTCGTTCGGCCCTGTATTTCTGTGTCCTTATGGTATAGAGAGCTAGTTTCTCTCCACTTAGCCACAATTCCTCTACCATGATACATCCCCATCATTGACAAGCTCCACCGCGTCAATTTCCTCGTATGGTGGGCTCATGCTTTGGACACGAACAGGCACCCAGCTCTCTGACTACCTTGGCAGCGAGCGACGGGGCCCGTCTTGTATGCTTGCTGACAAGGACGGTAAGCCCACCGACAATCTAAGATCTGGCACGCCCAAGACTCTCAGGTTCTGAGCTTTATCTTTAATTCCATGTCACCGGCTATGATGATCCAGGTCACCCACTGCACAAAGGCTGACGTGGCATGGATCGCTAGATGTTCTCCTCCCACATGCATGCGTCCCTCGGAAGGACATTACTTGCCTTCCCAACAACCAACTTTCTTTCAAATATATATGTGATGTACTTCCACTCTTTATTTGTTAAATTACAGTGATGAATTGGTATCCTGAGGTAGCTAATGGAAGTTGCCAATCTCACAACCGAACAACTACCTATTATTATCCTTTTCCTCCTTGGCATGTCCAACATAGAAACGTTCACTTTTATGAAAATTAATCTTAAGGCCAGACAGTTGTTCAAATAGGCACAAACATAATTTCATATTTATGGCCGTTTCCATATCATGCTCCATGTAGATGATTGTGTCATCAACATATTGTAGGATAGACCCACCCCCATCCACTAGATGCAGGACTAACCCACTTACCTGCTCGTTCTCCTTGGCTCTACCAATGAGGACAACCAACATATCAGCCCCAATATTGAAAAGCATTGGAGAGAAGGGATCCCTTGTTGTAACCCCTTCTAAGTTTGGAAAAGTCTCCAATATCATCATTAACTTTAGCACCCCACACCACCCCCTTGAACAAAGTCTTGACATGTTGCCTCCAAGCCAGATCAAAATGTACCATACGTAATGCATGTTGCAAGAAGGGCCATTTTAACTTTTTTGCATGCCTTCTCAAAATTCACTTCAAAGATAAATCAATCCAATTTCTTCCAATGAATTTCATGCAAAGCAACTACACCCTATAGTATATGTCAACCTGGCATGAAAGCTGTTTGAGTAGGGCGAGCACTTTGTTACTCGATTTTTATCTGCTTTGATAAAAAGAAACTTAAAACTAACATTGCATAAGAAAATGGGTCTAAACTATTTAATTTTCACCGCCATTTCCTTCTTAGGCAATAAAAATAATAGTCCCGAAGTTGGGCTAAAACAACAGAAGCTCACCATGGAACAAATCTTGAAACATAGGCAGTAGATCCCCCTTAATTGTCCCTCAACACCGCCTATGAAGTTCCACCAGGAACCCATCTAGGCCAGGTGCTTTATTATTCTTCATCCAAAAAATTGCCCCATACACCTCCTTCTCCGTAAAGGGAGCGGTCAACACTTCCTTTTCTTCCGGACATAACTATGGAATATCCCCCATTGTGCCCTCATCCATGGATACCAAATTTGACACAGGGGCACCGAAGAGCTTATAGAAATAAGAGATGTAGAATTTAGGTTCTCTTGACCTATAGTCGTACCTTCATCTTGCTCAAGTTGGACAATTCTTTTATTTCTATGTTTTCCGTTAGTTTAAATGAAAAAATTCAGTGTTTTTCTCCCCCTCCCCGACTCCCTTCACGTTAGCCCTAAAGGCCCATTTAGTTTCTTCCTCTCTCAAGAGCTTAGCGAGACCCTTTTCCACTTCTCATTTGGTGGCGCATTCTGCCGCGAAGAGGGGTACCGCCTCAGCTTTGTGTCAAGCTCATTAGTAAGGCAAAGAAGCCTTTCTTTTTCAACTTTGTAGACCCACTAGCATTCTTAGCCCAACCCCGCAAAAATTGTTTAGCCTCCTTTGGTTTGGGGGAATCTTGTAGGAATTTCATAGTATAGGATTTCTATAGGAAAAATTTCTTTAGAGCCCTTTGGTTTATAGGAATAGAGTCCTATTTCCATGGAAGAATTCTTCCTATCCTCCACATTTCATAGGAAAATAAACATTAGCCTAGACTCAATTAAAGAATTCTATGATGTGAACCAAAAGTCATCTCCTTTCCTATTACTATTCATAGTATTTAAGATACATGGCATCCCATTTCCTATGACTTTCATATTCCTATTATTTTTCTACCCTATGAACCAAAGGTGGCCTAAGATGCCAAATTTTGTACTGCCATCTCTCAATATTAGTAACCCCTCTATTTTCTTTAGCCCATTCTGTTGCAACCAACTCTAGAAGATCCTCTCTTTCAAAGCCTGATAGTTAGAAAGAAAAGGATGTCTTGTTCCCCACATGAGCAGCCTCACTAGAGTCAATAAGTAGAGGTGTATGATTGGACAATCCACTTTGTAACACATGCATCGTTACAAGGGGGAACTTTTGCCCCCACTTCACACTAGCCAATCGGTTCAATTTTTCATATGTCAGAATCTCAAGATTGTTTGCCCCAGTATATTGCCGACCTATGAGATCTATTTCCCTCAAATCCAGATTCTCAATAATTGCATTGATATAAATGGCCGGCAACTATCAAAGTTATCATTATTCTTCTTCCACGTATGAATAATATTAAAATACCTCCCACCAACATATGTAGAGTCTCCCCACCAGAAATATGAACTAATTCTTGAAGGAACTCAGACTTGAACACAAGTTGAGTTGCCCCATAGACGACAACCAGGGCACAGTCGAAGCCGTCAACTTCCGAGTGCACATGAAATTTTTCAGCATTATCACTTATCACCATCTTTCTTACATCAAGTGATGCCTTGTTCGCCCCAAGCAAGATCCCACCAGATCTTCCTCGAGGCGGCAGACAATACCACACGAAATCCAAAACACTCGAAAAAGTGCCAAAAAACTGAAAGTAAATTTTGATCTCCCGGTTTCTAGCAAAGCGATAAAATCCAACTTTTGTTCCTTATACATTTTCGCTAAAAATCTCTTACATTATCACTTATAGACGACAAGTTGAGACTTGAACACAAGTTGAGTTGCCCCATAAACGACAACCAGGGCATAGTCGAAGCCGTCAACTTCCGAGTGCACATGAAATTTTTCAGCATTATCACTTATCACCATCTTTCTTACATCAAGTGATGCCTTGTTCGCCCCAAGTAAGATCCCACCAGATCTTCCTCGAGGCGGCAGACAATACCACACGAAATCCAAAACACTCGAAAAAGTGCCAAAAAACTGAAAGTAAAGTTTGATCTCCCAGTTTCTGCTACCTCTTGAGCACTGCGTTGGTTTTCCCTGAAGAGGAAGGGATGATGCAGCAAAGTAGCGTAAGTATTTCCCTCAGTTTTTGAGAACCAAGGTATCAATCCAGTAGGAGGCTACGCGCAAGTCCCTTGTACCTGCACAAAACAAATAAATCCTCGCAACCAACGCAAATAGGGGTTGTCAATCCCTATAAGGCCAGTTACGAGGGTGAGATCTGATAGATATGATAAGATAATATTTTTGGTATTTTTATGATAAAGATGCAAAGTAAAATAAAGGCAAAGTAAATAGCAAAGGAAATAACTAAGTAGTAGGAGATTAATATGATGAAGATAGACCCCGGGGCCATAGGTTTCACTAGTTCGTCCCGTGTTCGGAAGGGACTTTCCTTGGCGTGGAAGGCAAGCTTGGCGATACGGATATGTAGATCTCCTACCATTGTAACTGACTCTGTGTAACCCTAGCCCTCTCTGGTGTCTATATAAACTGGAGGGTTTTAGTCCGTAGGACGAACAACAATCATACCATAGGCTAGCTTCTAGGGTTTAGCCTCCTTGATCTTGTGGTAGATCTACTCTTGTACTACCCATATCATCAATATCAATCAAGCAGGACGTAGGGTTTTACCTCCATCAAGAGGGCCCAAACCTGGGTAAAACATTGTGTCCCCTGCCTCTTGTTACCATCCGGCCTAGACGCATAGTTCGGGACCCCCTACCCGAGATCCGGCGGTTCTGACACCGACATTGGTGCTTTCATTGAGAGTTCCTCTGTGTCGTCACTTTTAGGCCCGTGGCTTCTCCGATCATGAACAGCAATGCGATCCAGGGTGAGACCTTTCTCCCCGGACAGATCTTCGTATTCGGCGGCTTTGCACTGCGGGCCAATTCTCTTGGCCATCTGGAGCAGATCAAAAGCTACGCCCCTGGCCATCAGGTCAGATTTGGAAGTTTGAGCTACACGACCGACCTCCACGGAGACTTGATCTTCGACGGATTCGAGCCGCAGCCGAGCGCGCCGCACCATCACGATGGGCATGATCTAGCTATGCCGCCGAACAGTGCCCTGGAGGCCGCACCCGCATCAGCTCCGACCCTTAATTCGGAGCCAACTGCGCCAATCAAGGATGGGTGGTTGGACACCGCCTCGGGGGCTGCAATCTCTACGGCGATCGAGCCGAACACCAGCCCTATTCTCTGCGAAGCCCGTGACTCCAAGGAGCCGGATTCCTCTCCAGACTCCGAGCCCTCCGCGCCCCTACCGATCGAACCCGATTGGGCGCCGATCATGGAGTTCACCGACGTGGACATCTTTCAGCACTCGCCCTTTGGCGATATTCTGAATTCACTAAAGTCTCTCTCCTTATCAGGAGAGCCCTGGCTGGACTATGGTCAGCAAGGTTGGGATGCGGATGATGAAGAAATTCAAAGCCCACCCACCACCCACTTCGTAGCCACTGTCGATGATTTAACCGACATGCCCGACTTCGACTCCGAAGACATCGATAGTATGGACGCCGATGCAGGAGACGATCAAGAACCAGCGCCTATAGGGCACTGGAAAGCCACCTCGTCGTATGATATATACATGGTGGACACCCCAAAAGAAGGCAATGGCGATGGAACAACAGAGGATGACCCCCCAAGAAGCAGCCTAAGCGCCGGCGTCAGCGGCGCCGCTCTAAATCCCGCCAAAGCAAAAACGGTGATTCCGGCACGGGAGATAATAACACCCCGGACAGTGCCGAAGACAACCACCTCCAGCAAGATTCAGCACAGGAGGATGGAGAAGCCAGCCCTCATGAGAGAGCGGCAGACAGAGAGGTCGAGGACGATAATTACATGCCTCCCTCCAAAGACGAGTCAAGCCTCAACGATGACGAATTTGTCGTGCCGGAGGATCCCGTCAAACAAGAGCGTTTCAAACACAGGCTTATGGCCACGGTGAGCAGCCTCAGAAAAAACAGCAACAACTTAAAGCTGATCAAGATTTGCTAGCCGACAGATGGATTGAAGTCCTTGCGGCCGAAGAGTATGAACTCGAATGCCCCTCCAAGAGCTACCCAAAGTGCAGGTTGCTACCCCAATTAGAGGAGGAAGCACCTAAACCTACATCACCAGCGCATGATGTGGCCGACCGGCCACCCCGTGGCCGCGACAGAGAGGCCTCTCAGCCCTCCACTCAAGCCACACCCCGGCGCCGCTCAAAAAATACCAAGGCATGGGAAAATACGCCAGACCTGCGAGATATATTGGAGGAAAAGGCAAGGCAAACAAGATCGATCTACGGATCGCGTGGGCGCCCCACGGCACGAGACGGTAATCGTCACTCCGGATACAGTAAATTCGGCCGGGCCGAACACAGTAGACAAAGCTCGTTTGAGTTGCGTCGTGATATAGCCCAATACAGAGACGCCGCACACCCACTATGCTTCATAGATGAAGTAATGGATCATCAAATCCCCGAGGGTTTCAAACCCATGAACATCAAATCATACGATGGCACAACAGACCCTGCGGTATGGATCGAGGACTTTCTCCTTCATATCTGCATGGCCCGCGGTGATGACCTACACGCCATCAAATACCTCCCACTCAAGCTTAAAGGACCAGCTCGGCATTGGCTTAACATCTTGCCAGCAAAATCAATTGGTTGTTGGGAGGACCTGGAAGCCTCATTCCTCGATAATTTCCAGG